CATTAATTAGTTAAAGGGAAGAAAGGAGACGGGCAAAGGCAGCTTTGGAAATGACGGGTCGAACCTGCCTGTTAATGGTTGTACTTACACACAAAGTTATATTTATAGATTAAAAAAAATGAAATCAAATGAAAAAAACTAATATAAAATAAGTCAAACTGCCAATAAATATAAAATGGGTATGAAAATAAAATTTCAAACCACAGGCCATTAGTAGTCTATACCTTATCTCATACAATTATCCAACTAGGTTAGCATCTGAACCATTATAATTATTTACTTTCAAGACATGCTATAACATAAACACCTTTCATGGCGCCAAACCAGATGCTATTAACTACACATTCACTAATTTAAACGGTAAATTATGTAACGCAACGACTGTCACAACAACGCAACATGCATAGCCAAGTAATTAACATCCTTGTATAATTACTAAGTCACTAAGATCTTCATTTCCCACAATGTGAAGTGTCTTTTCAATAGCAAGATGCAGTAAGGCAACAAAAACAACGGGTGCACTTATATTCTCTGCTAATTTTGAAGACAGTCTTGATGGCAGTGCAGTATACATGCTCTTGCAGGTAACAGGACGTTCTGTTTCTTAGTTACGGGCGTTTTGGTAGTGCATTACACCGACCCTCCTGCGATTTCGGAATGGCGGATTTTCATGAACAAATCAAATTTTGCCAAAGACTCGCCAAAACGGCTACGGAAACCTATGAAATGCTAAAGCAAGCATTTGGGGAGTCCGCAATGGGTCGTGCACCAACTTTTGTGTGGCATTCACGTTTTAAAAATGGCCGAACCTCTGTCGATGATGACGAGCGTTCTGGACGACCATCTTCGAGCACAACGCCCGAAAATGTTACGAAGATCGACGTCGTACCATCAACGACTTGTGCGACCTTGTTGGGATAGGCTATGGGACCTGTCAGCTGATTCTAAAGGAAGAACTCCCCATGCGACGCATCATGACAACGCGCCAGCGCACACCGCCCTCAAAGTTCGGCAGTTTTTGGCCTCAAACACCATGGCCGTCATCCCGCACCCTCCTTATTCGTCGGATTTAGCTCCGTGTGACTTCTTCCTCTTCTCAAAGATGAAAATTCAGCTAAAGGGATGGAGATTTGAGACGATAGAAGAGATTCAGGCAGAATCGCAGATGGTGCTTGACAGGCTGACAAAGAAAGATTTCCAGGGATGCTTCCAGGCTTGGCAGCGGCGCTGGGATCGTTGTGTTCACTCCCAAGGGAACTACTTCGAGGGTGATGGATGAATTTAATACCTGAGATAAGTGTACGGGTTTTTATAGGCGCAGTCTTGAAACTTTCCGATCGCACCTCGTAATCACTTATCCACTTAATCAGCTTTCCATTTATTAATCTATTCATCCACTGACCCATTCTGCAATATCTACTAGAGTGAGGACTACTGTAACAGTTTCTATTTGCTAGTTCATGCATGCAGATGGTTCCTCACCTTACGACTCATTGGTTAAAATGCTCCATATAGCATGTTTAAGTTTCTTCATATTCATCTTCTTAGCTCTCATTGCATACAGAATAAAAATTCTTGCCACCTGAAACAATATACTCAAAAGTGACAAATTGAGATACATACATGCAAATTAACATAATAAACATTAACATATATAGCCTCTAAATGAATGACAGTTATATTTACCCAAATTCAATAATCATGTTGCATTGGCTTTGGTTATTTGGTATAACTAACTTGGTAATGAGCTCAGTCAGTATAGTGACTAGCTCTGGGCTGGACGACCGGGGTTCGATCCCCGACGGGGGCAGAGGATTTTTCCTCTATCCTCTGCGTCCAGACCGGCTCTGGGGCCCACCCAGCCTCCTCTACAATGGGTACCGGGGTCCTTTCCCGGGGGTAAAGCCGGCCGGGGGCGTGATGCTGACCACTCACCCCCATCTAGTGCCGAGGCCTACATGGCGTATAGTGGGGCAGCTTTACTTTTTCTGTGAGCGGCGTGGTGGGGGGAGAGGCGAACCAAAAATGGCTTGTCTCACGACCATTGTTGCGCTCTGCAACGGTTTATTTATCAACAACTTTCATTATCGCAGACGGCAAGAGACAGTAGTTGAAGGTGGACGCAGTAAATTTCAGTCGCAAATCCAAAAAGTATTTACAGTTGCACCCAACCATCATGTTGGAAGCTGTATACAATTTGTTCAGAACCTCCTTGCCAAGACAGGTAAGCAATAACGAACAAGTAGCTACAGACTGTAGTAACAAATTTCGTAGAATTAATAGAAAATGTTAACTGAAGTTTCAACATACATCAGAAATATAGATTCAGGATTCGAAATAACAAGACTGCAAAGCCGCAGTCCGTACCAAAACAGTGCATTCTAAGTGCTCATAATTGACGTAAAATATGTACCGTATCATATTACAGAAGTATTATGTACATCAGCATATAAATATGATGCATACGATATAAGGACATAAGAGTGCATTTCCAATACAATAATTAGCAGTGCACTCTTAGAAAATAACATACAGATAACTACAGACTATGCATGCGGAAACAATGTCACAAAAAGATTCTGTTTATCAAAAGTAATATCGCATCAGAATTTACTGGCATGCTCATACCTCCACACAAACTTTCACGTGTTTCCAGTTTGCACACGAAATATACTTTATCATGCACAAACCATTCATTCTTTCATAAACTACAATAAAGTTTCAAATAGTTGCTTATATTTCAAACGTCGATTGCGGTATACAACCCTGTATTAACTTGTTCTAGCGATTTGGACGAAGACAGTTGGCATAATATTCACATAAAATTTATATCTAGGTAGTGGGAGATGTAACCTATAATTTTTGTTTTACTATCAGGGCCATACAATTTATTACTTTCACTCCAGAAGATATAAATGAATATTCGAGAACTTAAAAGCTTATGATTATCATAACAAGTTTAAATGTGGTGGCTGATATTCTTTTTTGCGGTTGCTACACCTGACTATTTCATCAACAAACAAATAACACGAGAGTGCGGGGTATGAATGCAGCACAGTTTGGAGACTCAATTGTATATGAGAAAATGGACCATAAAGAGGACGTGGGGATGTTAATAGGATTCATTTGGCAAAGGATGACAACCAGTGGCCGACTCTCTTTCACAGAACATCGTGCGAATTTGGTCTCATTGAACATTCACATACGTTGCTCCTACACTGTAGCATCCATCAGAAAAGTAACGTACGAGGTGAAAAATAAGCATTAGATATGGGCACTGTTAGAACGTTCGGGCAGAAGTCTGCCAGCCATGCAACCCACACACACCTTATGCGAACTCAAATCGTTCCCTCATCAACGACGTCACTTCTACTGGCAGATCAGGGTTTACACACTGTCACAGCCGAGGAGTTCGGACGCCTTCTTCGTATCCACCAGGTCCCGGATCGACGTACCTGCGCGGGGACCGGCTATGCTCACGTTATGCGTAGTTTCTTTCGGCCTCTCTTGCCAAATGTAGCTGCAGTGCGTTAATTTGGCCACGACCGCTTCCACCCGCATTCTTTCCAATTGGATATTCGTTAATGAACCTCACCAATTGATACTACAGGCGTGTAATCGAATGTACTGAGATCTAGCAACGGTCTCGTCGCCCATACATGGTGTCCTACTCCGTGTGTAATTTTCATAGGTTTACATCAATTCAGAACACGAAAAGGCCAGAGGCGTAATCAGTAATCGAAGACCTAGACGGTGAGATCTGGCGAGTACGAAGACGTCTGACTTCCGACATATTGCATCCCTTATTTAGTCTGGTACGTATTGACCGACGTTTCAGAGGATCTCACGGACTCCATCACTGGCGTAACGAACCTCCTCTGAAACGTCTCTCAGTAGCTTATCTGCCAGACTACATGTTGCAGCATCCCAGACGAGAGCCACATTAGAGAAACCCCATCCTTGACCCCTAACAGATTCGACGTGTCGAATTTTCTACAGTTGATTAACCTGAGACAAAACAAAAGCTACTAGAGAAATGTTTTTTTCCCAGAGAGTTAAGGTTGCAGGATACAACGTGCAGCATGCAAAGCTCTGAATAGGTCTCGCGTTCAGATTCGTAACTAATTCTGAATCCATGAGCTGTCTAGCGAGCTTGAACCCCAGTTTATTCTGTGGAAGGCCCCTACGTATACACGACAGGAAAATACAGAACAAGTCAGGAAATGTATGTATAGCACAACACTTCTGAAGCGTTGCTCTGTTGTTTAATATAGACATTCAATACGTGGCTAACCCCACTTAATGGTACCTGCACCTTGTCATGTTGGTGGGGCTTGAGTACCTCAGTGATCCCAAGAGCTACTGGTAGGGCCTCCCTAGCCAGATTGGTCGAGGAGGAGAGGTCAGACTAAGACAGGTACCCTGGTCCTCCAGGTCGGGGTTGGTCACAAGGCTAACAACCTTGCACCGTAAAAAGAAAGATGTTTCGAAACCTCGATCAAAGCCTCGCACGGACGGACTTAACAGAGGACCGAATGGAAGAGGAGAATTGAGGAGGCCATGGACCGAATACGGACCAGAGGGCCATAGAAGAAGAAGAAGAATACGTGGCTAATGTTTCTGATGCTCTCTTATAACCAGCGTAGAACAAGGTGTGCCAACATCATCAAATCTGATTAAATTCAGCCCAAAGGTCCTTAATTACCTGGAAATATATTAGACTTTACAGTAAAATACAGTCGGGAATGAAATATGGGTTCAATTTTTTCAAACCAACTTTTGTTAAAAAATGTTTAGCTCTCGTAAATATTTATCGAGTTACGGTCGAGATGTGAACAGAAACGCACGTGTTAGATTTTAAATGTGTAACATTCAATTCCGTCAAAGAAGCTAAAATGGAACACAATTTGTTGATTATTATTGTAATTGCCAACAATCAACAAGAATAGCAGCTGTGTCAACAATAATAATCAGCTTTGATGCTCTCTTAAATTGTAAACAAACAACTTCCGTTTCCGTGGATGTTCATAGACCACAACAGGAAGGGCGCTTGAAGTCGTTGGTAGTGCGACTGTATTCAGAAAGAGAAATTGAACATTTATTCTCCGTCAACCACTACCACAAAGTTAATACGCAACTTGAGCGGACAAGCCTTCAAGAGTCGTGTAAGTAATAAAGAGAGAGCAGATTTCTGCCAGGACGGCGACATTAGGTATGTGAACTGCACTGTGGTAAATGGCAGACTCAAGGTTTTATACATGAGTTTCATCAACTGCTTATGTTAACTCGGTTTGTCTACAAGATCAAAAATTGCGTATGTATCGAAAGTAACCGGAGGTTTTATTACTCCTTTCGTATCTTAAACTTGCTAATCTTTGCAAATCCCAGAGGAAATTATTTCTGCAACGGCTGATATCGTTGAACCACAGTTGCCCTGCAGCCCAGAGCACTCGATTCTAGTCCGATTTCGACTATACTCTGAGACAGGGGTAAGCAAACTTACTGCTAGCGCCGCCTGCATTGACTATTCATTTCTTCTCCAAGGGCCGCAGATAAAAGTGAACCGTATCGTGGAAAATGTGAGAAACTGTATTTCTTTGTATTAAAGATTTTGGCTGGTATTAAACTACAATAATAAAATGGCCCTGCCGCTCCACACAACTGAGTTTATCTTCGAAACAATTTATATTTAAAGTCATAGATAATTTTATAAAACTTCAGTTATTGAGACCAAAATAATTGTCACGTAGTTTTGTTAAAAGTCATATGGTTTGAGCAAGGGAACAATGTACATTTGCACAAGTCCCATATGGACTGACCTTAGAGCGAAATCTGGTGTCTGTTCCAATGACTAACCACAGCCTGAGCTAAGGCCACAAACATTTATAAGTCTGAGCATTTCTCCCAAATGGCGAGTCGTAGAAAAATGGAAATGCAATACAAAGAACAATCTGGAGATGAAATTCCGGGGAAATTACCGATTTTATCCGTGAGTTTTGAATATAAGATAAAGTGGTGTTCAAGACAACGCGTTTCACCGAAAAAATTGTGAATGCAGTAGCGTGCCTGTTGTAGAGAAAACAGCGGGCTCTGCATGTCCAAAATTCTTATACGCCAGTGCGTCCGAGAATGAATAATAAATACAAATTACGTACTCCTTGGAGAGAAAACCCAGGAGAAATTATTACTTTATCTCTGTTAGAAATAGACGCACAGGGAGGTCCATAAAGCTTCGTATGCAGAAAAATACTACATATTAAGAATGCGCAGAAGGATTGTAATATTCTTGATGCTTTAAAGTGCGAAACCTGAACAATGCCAGTCTACAAAATAAAATAAAATTCTGCATTATTAGCTATTAAAATGATCTTATCCTCATATGTATTTAAGTTACCGAGTTATATTCGATCAAAATAACGCCTACAAACACACACAAGTAACTTCATGGAATAACGAAATAATTCGTCCGTTAGTAATATAAATATAAGCATACATATAAATTTGTATTAAATGTGATCTGAATCTCGTGTTGAATTTTAAAGAGCACTGATGCTATAAAAATATTGGAAGGTAATCTGATACATATTTCTTTTGACCCCAGATACCTAACCAGAAATCCGATTAGTAACAAGAAATTATCTACTGAGCGGATAAACGAAAGTCTCCCAATTACACATTCTGAAAACCAGGAACAAAATATGGAGGATATAAAGCAGCGAAGCCAACTAATTTTATGCAGGCTCACGAAATACACAATTAATAATTTAAGAGATGATCTGACGGCTGCTCAGCAACGGCTAGAAAACGCAGACCAACTACCTGTGCAAAAGAACACGTTATTCGTTATATTAAAGAAATTTGCTCGCGTAGAGAAAGAACTTGAGAGTTTTAGAGAGAGAGTAAATGAAGCCAATGCGACGAAGTTCGACATTCAGAAAATGAAAGATAAAATGATGGACGTGGAAGGAAAACACCGTAGGGAAATTAGAAGAGCCCAGGAAACTATAAACGGACTGAGTGAGGCTGTAGCAAGAATCTCGGCTGAAAATGAGAAGTTTAAGCAGCAAATCGACAACCTTCTTGCCTCCCATAATGACGACGTCATAGTTTACACACATGAAGAAGCAGTGGGGCATCTCAGTGCTGCAAACAACAACAACATCAAGAATAAACAGGTAACACATTGCTTTCCATTCCGTCGAGAGTCTGTGGAGCTTAAACAGAACTTCAAGGGAAGATGGCTGTCTTCTGGGTTGTTGTGCAGCTCAGTCTGGTAGAATTTACAGGTTCCTCAGCAGGTAATGAAGGAAGCTGCAGTCACCACTGATACATCGTTCAATAACTACCAGACTACATCGCGAAAGAACCCAGAAGATTCCATCTTCATAGTCGCACTGTGAAAACCTCAAATCCTAGAACGTCAGGGCTTGTGAGACAGGAAACGAAGCGAAATTGTTGCTGATTGAACATGATAGAATGAAAATCAGTTAAATGAAACTTTAAGCACTTCAGAAACTTTACTTTTCTGATATTCATTTCTAACAGAATCATGCGTTTAAATAACTGTTTGTTTGCTAACATCACCTTGAATTTCGCACAGATTTAGGAATATCTATAATGTTCTCCAAGCGAACGTTCCTTGTTTGTTCCACAACATGTTGAAATCAGACAGAAATGAGTAATAACGCTTCAGGAAAACGCTATCTTCTCAGCAACCGTTTCATAAATCCACCATCATGTTAGTCACCTTATTGTGCCAATTCAAGGATTATCACCAAAATAACATGATTAATGTATTTAGGATTGTGTCCTGCTTTCTTTCCCTCTGAGGGCCACTGTATCGTGCGTCGTGTGTCTGGAAAGGTTGATTGTCTGGCATAAGGGGGTGGTCTTCTTCCCGTGCAATGGTAGGCCATGTGTGGTCAAGAGACTGTTCCCGTCCCTTCCAGAGGGCTAAGTTTCCTGTCAAACACGAGTCTGAAATATTCTGTTACAGTCTGAATTCTATCACGAAAAGCAGCAAACTGAAAGATGCAAACACACAATAACCGTAATTTTATTAGTTGGTTGGTATGGGTGTGCTACTTGGTCTCCCATGTAAAGAAAAGAACAGGCTGAGAAAGTGACCGTCTTCTATCTTCTGGAATACTGCGCCATGTACTCTAAATTTGAGACGTATAACAACAGTCTGCTGCGGACAATATTTAAATTAACGGATAGTAAGGGGCTAAAAAATTGGTTAATGATTAACTGACTAATTTCTATTCTTCATCACTCAGCATGAGATTGATAAATCGGGACATGCAGCACACATGAGTGACATTATAAATCCGTTGGAGGGGAGAGACCTCATGTTAGAGACAGCACAGGTGAAAGGCTAACATTAAAATGGAAATGCACGATGACTTTTGTAACTCTGTCAGTTAGACGATAAGATCTGAGATTTGTTAGTGTTTGAAGTGCATATCACAACTTTTCTTTTTCAGAAACGTGGCAGGACTGATAGCCTGACAGCCCAGAAAGCCGAAGATGGACAGGACATTGGGGAGGACTGCAGTGAGAACTGTGCTGAGAGCTCTTGTGAGGACTGTGCCAAGGGCTGCTGTGAGGACTGGGCTGAGAACTGCTGTGAGGACTTTGCCAAGGACTGCTGTGAGGACTGTGCCAAGGGCTGCTGTGAGGACTGGGCTGACAACTGTGCCAAGGGCTGCTGTAAGGACTGCTGTGAGGACTTTGCCAAGGACTGCTGTGAGGACTGTGCCAAGGGCTGCTGTGAGGACTGGGCTGAGAAAAATGGACAAAACCGAGCAAGGAATGTGCCTCTTGGAGACGAACCTCCAGCTCATACCTGTAAACAGGCCAAAGTGCTTAATTCCCCAGGTGTGTGACAAAACATGTATCAAATGAAGTTGCTGTTAGGAAATAATATATTAACTGCTGTGGAATGTAACATAATGATTTTTAGTGTCATAACAAATACATGTTTGTTGTGCAAAAATAGATTTAAAAAAGTAATGCACTAACTATTCAGTTCATTGTTTCTTCTAAGCTTTACGCATGAATATGTTATTTCACATTAAACTGTGAAAAAAAAAAGAAATTGTTAGGCAGTGTCGGACACTGCCGCAGTTATTTTCGTGAAAACGTCAATCGTGTATAGTATATTGAAATTAAACAAAATTTTTGTTTTGAACGGTTTAATTAATTTGCAACTTACATTTATTGAATACAGGGTAGTGGTATGAGAAGTAGGATACATATGGCTTTGAAATTATTTGAATACCTCTTGCAAATGTCAAATCTATACAAGTTTTCCTTTGCGTGGTTGGTTTGTCCAAATCATTCACTAGTTCAAGTTTAAAGAATTTCTGAAGGTATGCACGTAAGAGTTCTAAATTTTCGTCACTAGTGTTGAAATCAACTTCGATTTTGTAGTAGCGATAGAGCGGCTGCGCCGTCAAGTACCCTAGCCAGCGCTTGAGCACTGCCTTCTTTACATAGCCACTGAGGTAGCCAGACTTGTGCTCGATATTTTTCTTCAAATTCACATTTATGGCGTAATCGTCGTCGAGAGAGCGCGGCAACTTTGATACCATGGTATCGACACTCACTGGGATATTGATCACTTGGCCGACGATACCGTAACTCGATCCTCGCAGCCTGCGTATCTGCATGTAAGGGAGTCGCGGTGAAATCAAGCGCTCAGTCAAGGGATCGAGTTTGGGCAGAGGTGGGTCTGGGATCGGCGGATATACGAAACCGTTACTCCGACTCAACGCTGGAATCCGTCCCTTAGAACACTGAACAGGCCAAAGTGCTTAATTCCCCAGGTGTGTGACAAAACATGTATCAAATGAAGTTGCTGTTAGGAAATAATATATTAACTGCTGTGGAATGTAACATAATGATTTTTAGTGTCATAACAAATACATGTTTGTTGTGCAAAAATAGATTTAAAAAAGTAATGCACTAACTATTCAGTTCATTGTTTCTTCTAAGCTTTACGCATGAATATGTTATTTCACATTAAACTGTGAAAAAAAAAAGAAATTGTTAGGCAGTGTCGGACACTGCCGCAGTTATTTTCGTGAAAACGTCAATCGTGTATAGTATATTGAAATTAAACAAAATTTTTGTTTTGAACGGTTTAATTAATTTGCAACTTACATTTATTGAATACAGGGTAGTGGTATGAGAAGTAGGATACATATGGCTTTGAAATTATTTGAATACCTCTTGCAAATGTCAAATCTATACAAGTTTTCCTTTGCGTGGTTGGTTTGTCCAAATCATTCACTAGTTCAAGTTTAAAGAATTTCTGAAGGTACGCACATCAGAGTTCTAAATTTTCGTCACTATTATCTGAGGGCTACAGTGAGGACCATGCTGAGGGCTACAGTCAGGACCATGCTGAGTGCTACAGTGAGGACTGTGCCGAGGGCTACAGTGAGGACCGGGCTGAGAGCTGCAGTGAGGACCATACTGACAGCTGCAGTGAGGACTGGACCAGGGTCTTCAGTGAGGACTGTGCTGAGAGCTACAGTGAGGAGTCGGCTGAGAACTGCAGTGAGGAGTGGACCAGGGTCTTCAGTGAGGACTGGGCCAGGATCTTCAATGAGGACTGGGCTATGATCTTCAGTGAGGACTGGGCCAAAGATCGCAGTGTGGACAGTGAAACGTATCATAATGAGGACTGTGCCAAGGACTGCAGTGAGGATTGTGCTGAAAACTGCAGTGAGGACTGTACTGAGAACTACTGTGAGAACTGTGTTGAAAACTGCAGTGAGGACTGGTCTGAGAACTGTTGTGAGGACTGTGATGAGAACTGCTGTGAGGACTGTGCTGAGAACTGCTGTGAGAACTGTGCTGAAAACTGCAGTGAGGACTGTGCTGTAAACAGCAGTGAGGACTGGGCCGAGAACTGTTGTGACGACTGTGCTGAGAAATGTAGAGAGGACTGGGCTAAGGACTGCTGTGAGGACTGTGCTGAGAGCACCTGTGAGGACTGGGATGAAAACTGCAGTGAGGACTGTGCAGCGGACTGCAGTGAGGACTATGCTGAGAGGTGCAGTGAGAACTGTTCTGAGAAATGCAGTGAGGACTGGGCAGTGGACTGCAGTGAGAACTGGGTCAAGGCCAGCATTGAGGACTGGGCCAAAGACTGTGGAGAGGACTTGGTCGAGGACGTTAGCGGCAAGAGCGCTGACAAAAATGGACAAAACCGAGCAAGGAATGTGCCTCTTGGAGATGAACCACCAGCTCATACCTGTAAACAGGCCAAAGTGCTTAATTCCCCAGGTATGTGACAAAACATGTATCAAACCAGGTTGCTGTTAGGAAATAATATATTAACTGTTGTGGCATGTAACGTAATGATTTTTAGTGTCATAACAAAGACATGTTTGTTGTACAAAAATAGATTTGAAAAAAGTAATGCACTAACTATTCAGTTCATTGTTTCTTCTAAGCTTTACGCATGAATGTGTTGTTTCACATTAAACTGCGAAAAAAGGAAAGAGAAAACAATCGTGTGTTCCTTACAGGTTGTATTTAACATCTTCCTAATGCACTGTTTCCTCACATTATTGCCAGGCTGCACAGGATGTTACAACTCATTACTGATCTAAATGATAAATATCGAGACTGCAATGGCTGTAATATTAGTAGTTATAGGTAAACATGGATAAAATAATATGCTTTGGCTACTATTAAAATGTTCAGTTTAAAATAAAGATCTATTTTAGAAACAATAACTCTTTGCCAGGAATAAAACAGTAGCCATCATGACAGTAGACTATCCGTTATGCAGACCCCTGACTGAGATTATATATATATATATATATATATAAAACAATATTTAAACACAGATCAGGAAGGAGACTGCAATGAGCTGGCATTGCTCCGTAATTATATTGAACATCCTGTTCAGTGAGTGAATTAGCCTACATAGTTTACTGCATAAATTCCTTTAATCATGTTTGTAGATTAAAAGTAAGCTGTCTTAGGGATTGCCTGTAATTAAGATACTTTGTTACAGTCAAACGTTCAAAGTCTTGCCTTCCAAGACTAAGAGACTTCGAGCCGCTGAAACTTCTAGGAAGAGGAGGTAAATGTAATTTTCTTTAAAAATTTGGCAAATTAAAAGTGAACTTCTATGCTTATGGAACATGGGCCTGATTTCCTGAACCCCTCCAGATCAATAGGCAAAATAACTGCAGTAGTAATTCAGTAGAAACAACTGAAATGGAAGCAAGGACAGTGCAGCTCACCCTCAGTTTAGGATCAGTCACAGGAGTTATATTTATGCAAACATTACTGCAGAAACAAGAATGATTTTAAACATCAGTTACAAGAGTTACTATACTCAAACATGTGCAAATTTTAACAAGTGCAACAGAATCATAAACTTCTTAAACTCAGAGCTAAAACTTGGTTAATATGTTTTTATAATTTTACATTGTGATACCATTATACTAAAATGTCCCAGGATCACCATTGATAAATGAGTAACAGATGCAAGTATGTACCTTTATTATTTTACTTTATCAAGGTCAGAATTATAAATTAGTAAAAATAGTATAGAGTATACACCGCTGAATAACATTTCTTCATTCTTGAATATTATTTAAACAACATTCATTGAAGGACTGCAAAAATTATCTTGTGTTATCCAAGTTGCAAGCTGCAAATTAATCAAATTGTTTTATAGAATTCATGCTACTGGGCCAAATACCCTCCAAAGAAGATTCAACATAAATATTATAAGAGGGCCAGTTATATAATAAAAATAAAAATAACTGTATATCATAATAATTTCATACTAAAAATATCACATAGTTAATTGGGATTTCATCTTGTTTCTGTCGTTCTATGAGGCCAATGTTAGTAGCTATTTAAAACTGAAGGCTCTAATCATTTGGAATTACAACATCTATGTCACTGGTGGTGAGTGCTTTTAGTGCTTCTTGAACAGTAGGCTTGTATGGAATGTGTATTGATAAATATAATTTTAGTCATGAAGGTTTGATTTTACACAGAATTCAAATCTAATTGAAGGGAGAGAGTATTCAAATATCAGAGGTTTTTGTTGAGCAAACAGTAAAATGAACTATAACTGGGTGCTGTTACAGGTTTTGGAAAAGTTTACCTAGTTTGTAAAAAAGGCGGTGCAGATAATGGCAAATTGTACGCTATGAAAACAATGAATATTGAAAAAATACAGGAACAAAAAGATGGCTGTCAACAATATCGTACGGAATGTGACATGTACAAAAGAGGCCTGGAGGCTCCATTCCTGGTGGGACTCTACTATGCCTTTCACACACAATCAAAAGTCTGCCTCATACAAGGTGAGTGCATAAAAAAAGCAATACTTGACTTAACGTTGTTTTAGATCTGGAGTGCAAAGTACAGCGATAAGAAGGGTTGATCAATAGATTTCGAGAGGGCTGCTACCAGACCTCATACATCATTTTAAGTAGGCACATATTACATACAGTAAGAGAAGTCTTTCATAGGCATTTTGGACAAGATATAGGACTTAATAAAGCTATAAATGTTATTGTTAATCACAAGTTTAGTATTATTTTCTTTGGGTATAACTGTTTTTCTGTATTTTGAAGTAGCAGGGACTATGGAAGCATCATGGAATCTATACAGTATTTTGCTGAAACATTTTAAAATCTCAATGGTATATTAACTGTACATCACAGGCCTTCCGTACTGCTAACCTTATCTCATGTATTAGAGGTTATGTAGAATAGATTAAGCCTTTATATGCAAACTAAGTCCAGGAAGAGTCTGGCTTCAGAAGGAGCTTATCAACTGAGAATGGCGGATTCAAACTAACACTGTGTTATAAGTCATCAATCAAGAAGCACAGGTTGGATCTAAAATAAGCACTTAACTGTTAAAATCATTAAATATTGTTGGCTACATTTTATTGCATTCAAGAAATTGATGAATACTTGTACAGAACATATCTTATAAAAAGAAAACAAATGTGGAAATAAAACTAGCTAGTGAAGCGTCAAATGGGAAACAGTGACACTCCAAGATCCATAGGGGAAAAAGGGCTTTTACTCTTCATCTTACATAAATAATATCTCCCCTTTTTAATAAAAAACTTAGACTTCATATTTGCTAATGACATTCTAATAAACGTTTTGTTATTTCTGTACATTAGCGAATTCAGTTTTATCTCACATGAGAAAATGGTTACTGCAAACAAGCTAGCCCTAAATTTAGATAAAATTTAACACAGTTTGTGACAAATAATTCACCACAATATACATCATGAATTGGATATAATGGAAAATATGCTGAAGAGTCAGCAAATATTATGTGAAGAGCCCCACTTAGGCTGTGGATATTTTCTCGCAAACAGATGAACAACACAACTTTGTTTCTGGCAGAAGAAACTATTGTTACTTTGTAAACTATCTTTCAGTTTCAATCATCTGCATAGCATCAGTAAGTGTCCTTATAATAACAAGTCTGCATTATTATTGTTCCAGACTATTATGCAGGTGGTGACTTATTCCATCTGTTGCGGGAGTGGGGAGTGTTTTCAGTTGATGACACTAGATTATATCTTGCAGAAATCATCCATGGTGTGGAGTATCTGCATCAGGTAAACAAACAGTCACACTGCAGTTCTCTTAAATATAATGCATAGGGCAGTATAAGGCCAGAATGTACTTAACTGATTGTGTGACTACAGAATTTTTAATTTCTTCACTATATACCAATCATTTATAATTTCTGTGGGAAATGCCTGAAACAAAGTGTACAAAAATTGGTTGCTAGAGAACTTCTACATTATTCACATTTAGCATAGTATGCAGTTGCATGCTCCCAAGAGGCAATACATTCTTTATGAAAAATAGTAATCTGAGGTTGGCCTGAGAACAACCTCCAGATGACTTGGAGGCTGTGACCAGGCACCATACTGATAGCTACACCTATTTCACTAGTCCTACCTGCATTTTGTTTATTAATATCGCTAATTATTTATAAGACTTCTGTTCTTATGAAATGTACAAATGTCTGCACATTAGTGTATGGGCCTGCTCTCTGAAGCTCCACTGGATGAAGTACAGAGAAAGAAGCTAGAATAAGGAAATCTTAAAACTTTGCATACTGTGTAGTGTATTGGAATATAAATCATGCATACAAACAAAGTATAAACAGTTTTGTTTGTATGCATAATTTATATTAGAATAAGGAAAAGTAACAGATCCAGTTACAGGACTATTGGTTATCTGATGTAGGCAACTATTATGTATTATTCACTTTGAAAGTGTTTGACACTAGCCGCCCACGTGGCAAAAAATCAGCCATCTGGTAGCCTGACTTTAATATCATAAGCTTTAAACCGTGTACAGTGAAGAATTTGTCAACTAGGATTTTCTGAACTCATTAACTCTGGTATCATGGTACATATTCTACTCTAATTCAGCATCATAACCTGATTTCTGAATGTCTTTTCATCTATTAAAGAACTCTTGATGAATTGGAGTCTGGAGTTTGAAACCAGAAAGTTTTGTATCAAATCAACTGCAATTCTGTAATTCTGACCTTGACTCAAGGCCTAGATCTGTCCCAATATTTGTATACAAATATCCCCCTTTCAAGAGAAAAATAAATGAATGAATTATTTTAATAGTTTGCTGTCTCTCTGGATACTGACATTTCCATCTTCACCGTACTTTGAAATCCCAGAGCCCATAAACACTACTATTAAAGCAGGGTTAGATGTTTGGAAGTTCAACCAGGTTCATCATCCAAACAAAAAAAGTCAAACTAAAATTTAATAACATTAAACTGGAGCAAACAGTTGAATATTTTGGAGAGCATCCCCCTTTAACTCATATAAAATCTTACTTTTCTATATGGAATTATAAATGGCAGCTAACAGTTGCTGAACTTGGATCATTCTGTTCATTAAACAAAATTTATAAGTCATTACGAGTGCCTTAGAGAAAACGACTGCGTGAGTTTGAAAATTTTCTCCTCCAAATTCCACCCCTACTACCTTTGCAGTCAGATACTTCATCACATTTCTCCTTCAGAATTAATAATTATTGTCCATGTAATAAAATTAAAAGAAAATTATTATTTAATACACTATACTTTCTCTTCGAAATGCCAGAACTCACCCAACATCAATAACTATCACTGTGCCTGCACTATTATTACCAGGGAATTTACGAAATATACACATTTCTAATCGATCTTTATTGCCCAGAAAAATATCATAGGCCTGATCATTCTATACATAGTCAAATATCTTAGAAAAATATGATCATCCTCATCACCATTACCCAGCATCTTCGCAAAGACTTGAATGCAGAATTGTTCTCCTGTTTGTGTAATTTCCTTTTCAAAACAAACAACTTCATCTTGGAACTGTTCATTTGTTGTGCTGTTTTCAAGCTATGGAAACCTCCACCAAGGGGGAGGGGGAGAAAAAAACAACAGACCAATAAAAAAAAAAGAATTAGAATAACAGGGAATATAATATGTATCTAGAAATAGAAAGAGAGCAACTAAAGGCAAGAAAAAATATCTGTTCACTTTCCCAGTCTTGCAATATTCCACCAGTAGCACTTGTCACATAAAGTTGATGAAGTGATGTGTGTGAAGATAAGTCAACAGTGTGACTATTAGGCACATTTGTATACTGGCTACTTGTGAATGTGTACCTTTCATAATTTAGTGGTCATCATCAGATGTACAACAGACCTTAAGCTAATAGCTTCTGTTTCACTTTTGTTCAGTTTTCGATCTCATTCTACTTATAGGATTTGAGACTTTCGCAGCGAGTACAATCAGTAAAATCTTCTCCGGCAATCAGCTGTGTCAACTGGTTACCATAGTAAAACCAACGTTTCGGGACAGAGTTCTTCTTCCTTGGTGTTACAGTTCAAAGTTGAACCTTGGCCTCTTCAATCTTTCACCTCCATTCATTTCTATCTCTAGCCTTTGTTTTCCAGTTCCTTTTTCCTGGAAATTTATTGGCATCCTCCCTCACATCTTCCCACCTCTTTCTGGGTTTACCTATTCTTCTCTTGCCATATATTGTTTCTTGAGTCACCTTTTTGGGTATACGATTATCCTCCATCCTAACCACATGGCCAGCACACCGCAATCTCTTGAGCTTAATAAACATGGATAATTTTAGGTCCTTGTACAGTTCACAAATTTAATTATTATACCTAATTCTCCATTCTCCATCCACCAGCTTTGGACCATAAATTTGTCTTAGTATTTTCCTTTCAAAGACATGAAGATTTACTTACCATGGTCCATGATTCACATCCTTCGGGACAGAGTTGGTTCCCGAAACGTTGGTTGAAGCGGCTGATTGGCCAAGAAGATTTCATTGCTCTTTCTACTTATTTCCTTTAAAAGTTCCAAATTCTAGTATCTCTCTCTGTATATATTTAGTGTAAAATGCTGAAAAATGCCATTATATTACATTTTTCTCTTTATCATATAAAAATCTGAAAAATGTAGAATCTTTATTCAAACTAGTGTACAATATTCATTTTATTTGGGGGTTAGACTGGGGGTGGGGGTGGTGGGGGGGAGTTGAAGGTTTGCCCTGTGCACATAAGGAACATGGTAACTCCTCACTCATTATTGCAGTTGAATCCACAGCCACAGTCAAAATTTACCAGGGGTAGTGAAATTTTATTTAATCAGTAACAATAATAAATATTTTAGCTTAGTTAGGGTAATATGTAGCAGAAAAGTAAAATAATGAAACTACATCTTACTACCACAATAAGAATGCAAGATGTCCCAACTTTTATCCCCCATGGGCAAGGAATTTATTTGTTAATGTGTTTCTTTCAGCTTAGAGTCATACACCGAGACATAAAACCAGCAAATATATTGGTAGATGCTGAAGGTCATATTGCCATTGCAGATTATGGGTTGTGCAAGCAATTTGTCAGCTCTAAAGAGGTAAATATATTATCCACCTTATCTTTTGTTGAGTGTACATACAAGAACATATACGCTAGAAATGTTAAGTGCCATGCTGTCCATCAGGCACTGCTCTATTTGAGGGACGTCAAGTACCGAGACCCATATAGAGTTGAGAGGTTTCAGGTGCCTAAAATTGGACAACACATTTTCAAGGCTTGAAGGTACAGTGTAACTAAAATATGTCACAAGGTCTCTGAATTTGAGGTGATGAACTCAGAAGTGTGTAACTAATGCCTATAGCTCTACTGGAGTTTCATAAGTAGTTGCTATTATTGTATTCAGAAGTCATTAACATTGACTAGTACACCAAATATTAAATATGTAAGATACTTAAACATATGCCTTGCTTTGAAGAAAGAATATCAGGTATGAGTATTTGAAGAAAAGGGCAGTACTGGAAAATTAAAGGGATAATTCAAGAGGCTAGTTTAAATATTATATAATACAATAAGATGTTGTTATTATAGCCCACTGAGCATTGTCACAGTTATGGATATTACTTACAATGGGTGGGACACACAGGGAGAGGAAGAATGCTTTAGCATATTAGTGAGAAAATCTCTTGGAAAGTGCCAGCTTCTGAAATCATTAAGGAAATGGGAGTATAGCATCAAGAGGGATCTTAGAGAAATGGATTATGAAGACATGAGGTAAATGGAACTTGCTCAGGACTGTGTCCAATGGTGGTCTTACTTTTAGACATGGTAATTTCTTTCTTTTATCAGACAGTTACTAGTTGCTTTGTGTCTCAAATTCCTGTCACAGTTACTCAAAGTGTTGTTTCCATCAACAGGATGATGATTATGCATATAATAAATGTGGCACAAATCAGTATATGGCGCCAGAGATGATCATTGGTGAAGGCTACAGCTATGTAAGTATCTTATACCTTAACAGTACAATAATAATGATCTCTTGGTTTAACATAACTGAAACAAATGTATGCTTATTTTAAAGTAACAAGTGAACACATTATAATAATCTGTGGGTTCAGAGCTACAAGTAATAACTGTACAGAGTTCATTATGACACATGCATGAGCTTGTAAACATATATCTGTTATATAATGGAATTTAAAAGCCAAGTACTAGACAGGCACTGAAATTCACAATAAGTGTTCTTTAGACTTTGTCTTTCTCTTTCTCAACATGAAAGTAAGTGTAAGTGTTGACTTGTGTCACATTACACCCAAAGAGAAAAAGAAAAATGTAGTAGCCATCAACAAATTGTATGCTTCAAAGCCATGGAAATACTTCATATCCCTACCACACAGCTCTATTTTTATAGTGCAGTATTTCTAGTGTTGCTGCATTTTGATTTCTCAGGCTGTCTTCACTCATTTGGGCCCCTTTTGCTGTGACCTTCAAGTGTGCAATTTGGTGGTGGATATTATAACTACTCAGAATATATATATACTATAGGTTAAGCTTTAAAAACTAAATGTTCTGGGTGTACATGTCAAATATATTCCATTTTACTGTAACATTGCTTATCAACAAAAAGGCACAGGAATGTAAACTAAAAGCATTTGAGTAGATTATATGACCAAGTTCCTATGACCTACATTTTACAGATGTTCAATGAGGACACTGTATATGACCTGACAGTTAACAAAATTGTGTTCAGTTTCAGTTCAGGGTGACTGTAGCCAATTCTCCAAATTCTGCAAAGTGGAAGCCAGTGTTGGCACATACAAAGTATCCTTGATGTAACCCTCAAAAGAAAGTGTTAAGGGGAAAAAGGTCAGGCACATAAGCTGGCCAAGTCATAAGCCTGCCCTTGCCAATAAACTTCTCTGGGAACTTCCAATTTAAGACATCTATCATTTCCTTATGAAAATGTGGAGGCGTTCAGTCTCATTGGAGCAGCATGTCGACAGGACTCTTCTTCCAAAATAGGCATGAGGAATTCCTCTACTTCAGGTGCCATTTTAACAACTGACAGTATAATGCTTCTAGTTTAAAAATACTGAAAATAAAGCAGCACAAATTTTAAACTTGATCATATAACCAAGTCAAATGCATTTAGTTTTCTTTCCTCTGCCTCTCAGTTCCCAAGCATTATTACACTGAGATGGTATACATTTCATATGCACATACTGTATATAAACAGCTCTTGAACTGAAATAAAGAGAAACATTTACAAAAATTTGTTGCAGTAAAAAGTACTGATGGACTCACAGCAGTTCAAAAGATATGAACCAGAGACAGAACAATTGTTGGTGCTTTTAAAACAAAACACTACAAAAATGTTCCTATTTGCTTCACCATGTTTGTGTAGCATTTTGAGAATTGCTGTATGGATTTTAATGACATCTGTTATTAATAATTTGTCTGACTTGACTGCTGAAGTCATTTAATGCAAAAATAAATTACTTATAATATGAACTGTACACAATGGTTAATAAAGTGATTCTTAAGGTTTTGGTAGAGCACTCAGAGAAAAACCACAAGAAAATTAAGCACAATCTCTGGCTGGCTATGAATCAAACTCATACCTACATGAAACAGATAAATATGAAAAAGCATTATCGTACTTAGGAATGTTTCATATTAACCTGGAAGTAAGAAATGAACAGCCAGTTCATTTTAATTAACACATGTTCTGTTTCTGAAGACCCTTGTGAAAATGTATAAGAGTGTGAAGAAAAGAAAATGATTGACTGCAGCTATTACTCAAACTTTGAATTGTTGCAGGAGGTGGACTGGTGGAGTGTTGGGATTACGGCTTTTGAAATGATGATGGGGCACAAACCCTTTCATTATGATGACGATAGGAATCATTCAGCACTCTATCAGTAAGTATTTAGCGTTTGAAAAGAGATGTGATGTAAGTTTTAACGGAATTAAATT